AGTGCCACGCCAAGGAAGCTCGAGGCAGAGTCAGGCATGGCGACTTAGTCAGCAGCGGCATAGCTGCTTTTGGTTGTCCTTTGGACATGAGTGCAGTGCCATAGGTGCTTTGTGTTGTCCTTTGCACAGAGAGGGGCAGAGACCTCAGTTGTCCGCCATAGCCTAGGCTTGTGAGAGGTGGAAGAAGGGGGGAAGCCATACATATGGTGGACCTGCTGTTGTTGTTGTTGTGTCAGTAGTAAGAGGGAACTTCGGATATTGATTCTGGTTCATCTACTCATTGTTATTATTATTATTGGGAAGAAGAATAAGATTGGAGAAGTTAAGGAGGAGGAGGAAGGTGGAGAGAGAAGGGGGATTTGTCATTGGATTTGCTGGTGTACATCTTCTCTTTCGCAATTGGGTGGCATTGTCTTTCATTGTGAATTTGCACTTTGGGAATGACCAGGATCGTAACATCATCCTATCGATGCAAGTAGCGTGAGGCCAGTCGCGGGGTTGGAGACTTACCTGTTGGCCGGTTCGTCGCTCAACCTATCGATGGAAAAATTTGTGTGTGTGTGTGTGTGTGTGTGTGTGTGTGTATGTGTGTGACGGGCCTGAGGCAGAGCACCGAGGCTGGGGGAGAGAGGGAGCATGAGAGTACACACACACACTCACTCAACTCGACACGACTCGACGGACGCAGACACAAAGTGGCAAAGTTGCAATCTTGGATTCCGAACACAATGTAGCAGCAAGTCACACTGAAGCACAAGCACTGAGGGCGAAAACTGAATTTCCAAACTCAGCTCGAGTCTGGTCTTAAGTATCGAACTCAAGTTGAGTCTCGAGGGCAGAAGTGCAATTTGCCACAGGGCTGAACTGAAAATCGAAGGTTTGAGCCTGGGCGCCAGAATGCCGGATGGCGCCAAGTATCGAAATCCGGAAGTGCGAGAGGAGGGATTTGAGAACGGGCGCCAACTGCAGAGGGCGCCAACAGTCAAGAACCGGAGATCAGAGACTCAAAAATAAAATAGCAGCCTGGCGGGTGGTAACCCGCAGACCAGGGATTGAGTCCTGGCCGAGTTCGACACTCTCTCTCTCTCTCTCTCTCTCTCTCTCTCTCTCTCTCTCTCTCTCTCTCTCTCTCTCTCT